CATTGCTTTAATTTTACTTACAAGATTTCGTCACCTCGTTTGTTGGATATTATGGAAATTTTGTTTGAACGTAGCTTTAATTTCCATAGTCCGACCGAAAATTTGCATTTTGATTTTCGGAGTTTTCCCGACATGTGATGGCACCAAAAGCAAACTGGATGATTATGGGAAAGTTCCTTCGTTGCAACTTGAGTTTTTCGATTTTGACTGTGACAAAAATTAGATTCCAACATTAAAATAAGCCTTTGAGTCATAGAAATATGATTCCACTTTAAAGTGAAATTATGTTCCACTTCGTTTTCAGTCGAAGCATCCGGTATATTTGAATCTAAGTCTTTTTGAAATCCCGTCGTTTCAATTCTAAATTATCTACTTTCAGCTAACTATTGTGTTTACCTTTTTTTGCAAATCACCTTTATGTTTCAAAATTGCAGTGTGTTTGGGGTCCAAACGATGAAGGAATTGTGTTTTTTGGGATTCAGAATGCTCCAGTCAAATTGGGAAAGATATACTGCAATAACAGAGGGTTTGTTTATTCATGCAGTCAGTATCTATTTTAGGTGCGATAATAGTTCCAAAACTTTTTTTCGATTTATCAGTTTTCAGAGGGACGTTATTCTATTACGAGTTCGCTTCAGCAAAACTAACTCCATTAAGTGATAAAAATGTCTCAGTTGAAGGATTATCATTTTCTCCAGATAAATCTAAACTGATTTATTTTCAACGCCAACCTGGAGGACCTCATTTTGCGTCAGTTACCTGTCAGTTGGTAGGCTTCATTGTTATTCATTGTAAATTTGTTTTGCAAATCAACTGATTTCTCAAGAATTTGTCTTTCATTCCACGGTAAACTGTATACTGCAAAAGGTTTTGGTTCTCGGACAATGTGAAAAAGCTTGTGTGAAAGCATCCGCACGTTTTCGAAACCGTATTTCGAATTTAGTTTTTAGGTTTTTTTTTAATATATATATATATATATATATGGTTATTTAAATCTTTATTTTATTTCCAAAAAATTGCAAAGCAGTCCGCTCTCAATAATGCCAATTATAATGATTCTGCAACTATATCTACCGCTATGGAATGTTCTTGCATTTTTTGAGCCAGTTAATTTAAGGTGTTGCTAATATTCTGAAACTAACTTTTTAAGAAAGACTATTGTGTTTAGATACTTAAGTTTTTTAGGTGAACTGGAATAAAACCGAACAACAACTACTGGTCCCAATTGTCACTACAGTCAGCGGTACTGTTCTAAATATTTTCTTGTAAGTAAAAGTGTCGGGTTAACATTTTTGCACGTAAGGAGCTTGTTTAGTAGCCATTAAATCGTTTTGTCGGATTTATTATTATCTTGATTGAGATATAGTTGTTAAGGAAAGCCAACATTATCAAATATTTTAAAAAATATTTGTCTCACTTCCTTAAACATTGTTGTGAGTATACACTTATACATTATTTTATATTTTTTTCGAAGTCATTGTCTTTTATCAGATCGTGAACAGTTCCCTGGACTTTATGCTGTGCAGTTAGCGGGGAGACCGTGGTCCAGTGACAATAAACGAATATTTGTTTCAACCATGTGGGGTTCTAAAAGAGTAAGTTCAATTTTTTTACAAAGCATAAAATTCGGAGGCTTTCAAATATATTAACCCCTTCTTTTAAAGTACATTAATTTGAAACTGTAGTCGTATGCAATTAATTCCTTATTAGTTCTATATTTTTCTTCTTGATTTCCAGGAAATTGTAACCATAAATACGGAAACAGGAAAATTGGACAAAATTACGAATAACGGTATGCACAGTCTGCATTGTTCAGAGTTTGTATTTGGTAGATTTGTTATTCTCAGACGTAGATATGGAGCAATTTTCTAAAAAGGAATACCAAAAAACCCGCTTTTTCAAGTGTTTGTTCATGCTTATTCAAATTTTGACATTTACTGTTTTAACTTAAAGACATTTATTAGTATGGTATCAAAAGAAAAAGTATTAATATGGTATTGAAAAATATTGAAATATTAGTATGGTTTTGCAGCATGAATAATTGTGAAGTGTAGCAATCTTCGTCGTAAGACAGTTCTAAATATATGCTTATATTTCAGATACTTTCCATGGAAGTTGGACAATACTTGATGTAAATGAAGATTGTTTGGTAGTGGTTTGTAGTGCGCCAAACCGTCCTCCAACTATCCTTGTTGGTCATGTTCCAAAAGTTGATTCGAGAGAAATGGTAATTCTGTTTTTCACTTGTAAGTGGTATTCGTTTGAAGTAAATAAAACTTGTTCGTAAAGAAAGTTGTCAGTTTACAGGAGAAATTGAGTGATTATCTTAAAATTTTGCAATTTCGCCTTTTCAGATTTCCAAAGTCATGGAGCATAATGGAGATGCTGCGGTTTCACCTCTTCAAATTTCCAAAACCATAGGGCATAATAGTGATATTGCATGTTGCACTTTTCCTGAACAGTTTGTTCTTTTGTATGTTGCGGGTGAAAAACCAACTAATTTTTATCATGACATCATGTGGATCACATATGACTTTTGCAGATTATATGGACTAGTCTTGATAATAGTTCAACTTTTGAAATTCACTTAAAATTGCTCGATTTTACATGGCAACTAGTGGATTTCGATAGAGGAGGTCAGTGTAAAAATTTTGCAGAAGAGGATTATGTAATTAGAGATAACTCTGCATATTCTGCATTTGCACATTCCGGTGGAACAAAGAATGATATAGCTGACAGCTGTTTTTTTTCTTATTCTCATTTTTAGTACCTTACTCCGTGCAAGAGAATTGTAAATTTTTTCTTCGATTTTTCAGTTCGAGGTTCATATGAAGGCCTACTGTATATTCCAAGTGAAACCGATGTTGTTCCACTAGTTGTAATGCCTCATGGTGGACCGCATAGCGCCACAATTGCTTGGTGTCTCATTCTTGTTGTTTATAATATTATTGTTTCTCCTCCAATACTAATATGTAATCATACCTCTGCTTTATTTTTGGCGTAATTTCAAAGGAAAAATGCAAAAATCAAAGGGAGGGCAACAAGAAATGAAAATACACATCTTTAGTCAAATCGGGTAGCTGCTTTGGTATGTTATATTTTCGATATTTCAGTTGGCCGAGTCGTGAGATCCTTTTGTTGTTGAATTCCGGTTATGCACTGCTTTTTGTTAATTATCATGGGTCACTTGGATTTGGTAATGATTTTGTGAATTCACTGCCTGGTAACTGCGGTGATCTGGACGTTAAGGATGTTCATGTAAGCCAAGTTACTTCCGAGAATAATATTAATAAAACAATTCAGTGTAACTTGCAAACTTTCAAATATTGATCTTCATTAGTGGTACAATAGTTTTGCTGTTTTATAAATTTTCTTTAATGCAGAGTTTTATATGCAAATTTGTTGCTGTTCGTTTGTTTTTACTTTAGACTCGTTACAGTTTGCTGTTCAAACAGTGTTAAACATGGAATCAAGATTAGATCGTTCAAGAGTTGCAGTGTGTGGCGGTTCACATGGTGGTTTTATTGTCAGCCATCTGATTGGGCAATTTCCCGTAATTTTTACTGTTTAATTTTGGCCTTTTCGATTTTATTTTTCAATTATAGGAATTCATATTATTAAAATATCGTTTTTATTTCTTGCCGAAACTGCTAAACTTTAGGATTTCAGGACTGCTACAAAGTGTGCATTGCTCGAAATCCTGTTTTAAATATTACAGGTATCAGTTTATTTCTTATATGTTATGATCAGAGATATCATTAAAAAAATGAGTTTTGCAATGGTGGAGATGTAATGTTGCAAAATGAAAAGATCAGTCAGCATAGCAGTTGATTATTTTTGATTACTGCTTATCTGGTCGTTTACTTGATTACCCCTTATTCTGTGTGCAAGGTTGAGAGGTATAGAAAGATTTTAAAAGAAAAAAGGAAATAAATATATAAAAGTTTTGTACTAATAAGTACCGCTATATATTTGAATTAAAATTTTTAGCCATGTACGATTTGTCTGACATCCCTGATTGGTAAGTTTTTTTTCTTTTTTTCCTCCCAAGGAGAGTCAAGCGAGATAACTTTTGCTTGTTTACTTAAGCATGCGTCTTTTCACAGATGCTATATTCATTTCCGCGATTGCTCAGAGAAAGAATTGTCTGTTTCTTCCTGTCTTATTTTGTTCGAAATTAGATATACACTATGTGCACTATGCTCATAATACTTTGGTGTATCGAATGCATCGAAAACTAGGCAATTGGATGTGCATAGTTCAATAATTTCAGGAGTAATGTAATTAATGCACATTTGTTGGCACCACAGCCGAAATTGCTTTTCTGATTTTCAGGTCAGTAGTAGAGGCTCTTGGTCGAAATGCAGATGATTGGCAGAAGATGTTGACGGCAGAAGACCGTGAAAGAATGTACCAGAGTTCGCCGATTGCTCACGTTGAAAAGGTCTTCAGTTTTTTTGTTTGTTTACTGAGCGCAGAAATTTTGTAGATATCGTTAAACACTTTCTGTAGTCGTATAATGAATAAACGAAATAATATTAATAAAATAGGAACAGTAAAATAAGTTCCGAAATATTTGTAATTAAGCTGGATTATTATTCACCTTCAAAGAATGATAAAATAATTTACAAGATTTTTCGTAGAGTTTTGTCATCAGAACGGAGAATTCAATTATTTAAGAATCAGTGCTTTAGGTTGTCACACCATACTTACTTTTGAATGGTGAAAAAGATTTACGTGTTGTGAACCATTATCGCGCTTTCATGCGTAACCTGAATGCACGCCAAGTTCCTAATAAGTAAGTTTTTAAACATTTGAAAATGGATGTTTTTCTTTTTTGGAATTTTCAATGTTTTATCCTTTGGTTTTTAAGAGAAATAAAATTATTTAAGACGGTATGTTTGATTTTTTATGAGTTGTTGTGCCGGTATTCCTTATGCGGTGGGAATTATAATGTGTGTTATAATTATGCGGAGAGTCGTAATGCGTTTTTTTTTTGAGATATAATTGAAACATTGTTCATTTATTGTGGGAATTCAGAATTCTGTCCTATCCGCAAGCGTACCATTCCTTGGAAGAAGTTGACGTGGAGGCAGATTGCGCAATCAATACCGTTCGTTGGCTCAATAAGTATCTCAATCAGTGATTTCGTTTCCTCCAATTATCTTTTTTGCTGAGCTTCCCAGTTGTTTAGTTAGTCAGTAATCTGGCTGAAAATAACTGGATGGTATTTTGAATGTGATTTTAACATTACTTTTAGGCCATCGAAATTTCTTTAATATCATGAGTTCCTCAAACGGTACTCCATAATGTTGATAGCAGCTATCCCTTCATTTTGTAGAAATGAACTTAACCAGTTACGGTTGTTTAACTGAAGCTTGGATTACCTAAAAACCGCAAAATAATGAAACAGCTGCTATTAACATTGTGGAGTATCGTTTAGGAAGTTCGCGATGGCATTACAAGGACTTTCGAGTTTCTTGAAAAGTCAAAGTTTAAGGTTCTTTGCAAACCCTGAAATAATAGAAGTGTTACGGATAACTGGAGATGTGAAAGTTCTGCATTTATTTTCCTTACATGTTATTTGATGCTTACTATAAGTTTTTTGTGGTTTGTTTCATATTTTGTAATTTATTAAGATAGCAGGGCATTCAAATAATGTCTCTATCTCTTCATGGAAGCTTCTGAGTGGTAACGCTGATAGAATGCAAGTAGATGCTCTTCCACAATTGTTTTCTATATCTTTTTTCGTTATTTTCCAAAATGCTACATTTTTCTACATTTATGATGTTTTTCTAAATATGCTGAGTAAATAAAGCACAAACTATAAGGGATATATCGAGATGTGTTGAGGTTTATTTATAGTTTCGAGTTATGTGAAGCGAGTGGTCGTCTGATCTCACTTGAAATATTTCGCATAGGGAGATGAAGTAATGCACCGTTGTAGCTTATCGAAAATCTATCCAGAGGGAAGTCTGGTTTGCGAAATTTAGTATGTATCGATAAGCCACATGGGAACCGCTGTGCTACTTACTTTCACTGGCTGATTTCGCGCGTACGCTTTAATATTACAGCTATTGAAGTGTGACTCTATAATCTTCATGAGAGGATGAACTATCAGTTAGGAAAGTTCCTGTGGTTTACCTGTCTTACAAGGCAGGGATTGTGGGTTCGTACCACTGAAGGAGGGATTTGTTTTTGTAAATGTAGCAAAGGTTTGCTGGAAGCATTCAGCTTGTTATCTAGATGGAGTTATGGAATTTCCTTTCAAAATGATAGGTTGGAATTGCGGAGGTTGAAGATTTAGTCTTCGTTTTTTCTTCATTGGAATGATGAAACACTTCTTTAAGAGAATGAAAAGACTTATGAAGATTGAAGACGCACTCCATGCGCACTCAGTTTATTTTATTCTGAGTGCTCTTGACTTTCCTCCGTGGTAGAGAAACATGAAATCTAACTTTGTTAAATTCAATATCGTTATTGTGAAAAAGTAAATAAATTGGGTTGGTCAGCTCCCCATCATATGATGTTAGATTATTCATTATTTCCGTGCATCTTTTTTCCGTATTTTGATCTGATATGTTAATATCGATTTCTTTTGCATTGAGAAAATATGATTCAACAGAAATAGTTTTTTTTTTCCTTTCTATAGTTACGGGATGTGCAACTTTTGACTAGGTAGATTATGGAGCGTTTTCATGTATTGCTAGTTATACTTTGTGGTATATTATGTCGAAAGAAATTCAAGGAAGGACTAGGACTAGTTAAAGTCTTATGTAGGTAATGTTACGTCTGAGCGTCTGATGATGGTTAGATTCATTTCAATGGCAGGATGGATATTGACTTTCCTTGCTTCAGTTGTTCAGAAGAGGGAAATGCTGGTAAGCAAAAAACTCAGTATGTTCATCTTGCATACATTAGTAACCTCAGTTGAACTTAGGAGCACTGGGAAAGAAAATATGGTGGAATAGGAATATTATGAAGAGAATAAACGAAAGACAAGTCGTAGTAGTAGTGAATTGATGGACAATTGCTAATGGTAACTATAATAGTAATAGTATAGTAATATCATATCGGTAGCATCATGATATTTGTAAGATGTCGCTGAAAGAAAGGCGTTATTTTCGATCACCGTTCTGTTATTCATCACATCCCCTTAATTAGCAGTTTTGCAAGTGGAAGAGGAATGGTGTGAGTGAGGGTACCGCTAGCTGTTACGAGTGACTATTTGAGACTACATCGCATATACACACATGCATATGTATATGTAGTCTAATTGTAAGGGAAATTCTAGACAGAAATGTGCTACCAGCAATAGAGACAGGTGAATAAATGGGTGGAAGAGGTCGTGGCAGTTGGCAGTTACTTCAGCTTCCACTCCAACGACAATATGAATGATGCGGGGACCACCAACCTATTATTGCTTGAATGGATATTGATCTGTACGCTTGTCGACTTCAATCAGTTGTAGTTTTGACGCTTACCCGTTCTTTTTTTGGTTAGGTTAGCGTATCATCAGAAAGAAAATCAGTAATAACAACGATTTTGTTTGAGGAACGTTGTGTCGGATAGTATAATATGAAACAGTCGGCAATCACTTCATGTTTTGGATGCGGCCATGGTTGGTGCTGATTCTCTATAGATTATTCATTTATCATGATAAACTAATTCATTGCATTGGAAAGAAGTGGATGGAAGCATTTTTAAATTACTATTAAGCCTGATGAGGTTCAAAATGTCTTTATTCCAAGTTAACCTTACAATAAATTAATACTGGATCATGGACTTTATCATTTAGAATAATTACAATTTGGATATTGGTATCAGCGAGTAATAGTTTAAAGAGTTATGTTTTATACCTCTATATATCGTTGACAAAAATACTTTTCACGTGAACAGCTATTGCATAATTTAATTTTTTTGTTATACTTCTCCTGATAACACAAGAAATTGAGTTAAATGAGTTTTAGTTGAGTTTAAATAAGTTTTAGTTTCTCTCAACTCCGTCATATTTGTTGACTTTTTTTCTAGCTAGATTACTACTATTTTTGGCGACATACTGCAGTTTAATAGAGTGAACCTATTCACGTCATCATGTATTGATGCTGGTTTTGATTACACATATCTTCGCGGATAGACAGATGTTTATGGATCAGATCGATTTGCATTCTCCCATTACTACTACAATTATGTAATAGAGGTGAGGTCAAATGGAATCGGGTCATTGGTGACTTAGACAGTCATTGAATGTAGTGAAAACGTTACTATTCTACATGTTTGGTTTATAATTGAAGCAGAAAGCGATAAGAGTTTCATCCGAGTGATGGGTTGATGATGCTTTTTTCTCTCTCCTGCTTGACAGTCACTCGTGATGTTACGATGACTGACGCTCTTGTTCATTTTTAATTTCTTTTTTTGATAACATTCGTTAAAAGGTCTTCACTGCTGTTCCATCTCTGAGTTTACAAAAAGTAGTACGAAAGGCAGAACACTTCATCTAAATATATGCTGCAAACTTTTCACTTTTCGAATGGATCTACTCCCAATCTCTAGCTTACTTTCATTGTCACTTCTTTGTTCTTTGGGTTTGAACAAAAACATTGTTTTATTCACATTCATCCATCCTTCAATATTAAAAGATGGATTTTCCCTAGTACTTCTTCACTCCTCCGAAACCATTCTTCAATTAGGAAGTGTAATCTCACTGAAATATACCATTGGATCAACTATTGAAGGGTTAAGGACAGTGATGGTTTTGCTAATTATTACGATGGATGGTTCACTTGGATTGAATGGAAAAGTGTTTGTCTGATCAGCAGTATACTATTTTTCTTTTACTATTATTCCTTATCTATTTGTACACCATGACCATTATCGTATCATGGAAGTTATTGGCTTAATCCTTACAGCCTCTCTCTTTGCCCGCATAAATTCACTTTTGGAGATAAGTAAATGAATGGAGAGCTTACTTCCATTACTCCGAAATAATCTGCGAGTACGATGAATCCACGATTAATGATATGCTGTTATACTGTATGCATGTATTTTATGTATATGAATATGTATTGTGTGTGTGCATGTCGGTATGTGTATGTATATGTATGCGTCTTGTGCGCATGTCTATGTGTGTGTGTACCATGAAATTAGCATTCACTGACCCTATTCCGATTAAGTTGAACTTTTTGAGCGTGTTTAATCTCACTCCGTCGCTCTTTCTATCTCCCTTCCCTCGCTATACGGAACACGTCTGTCACTAAGTGCGTCTGTATCTTACACTTCTTTCGATGTGACCTATTAATCAAAACCCCATCTCTGCACCATACATCTCTCAAAGAGCAGCCAATCATCCGAATTGAATTCACGTTCGCTACCTACAGATAAATGACCAGGGGTTCTCTGTATGCTATCCCATCCCATTCGCATCTGCTCCGTTTTGTTTCGGTGCGTTTCATCCTGTACCGTTCCTTGTTGCTTGCTATCCACTTTCTTTTTCCTTTTCTTCCTGAAGGACATTCTGACGTCATCTTTGCGTGGTACTTTTCTAATTTCGAAGTTTTTTTGCTCGTTTCTCCTCTCTAAATGTGTCGCTTTTTGTAAATGAATTTCTGTACATAAACACATGTGGACGATGTGCTTCGATTGGAACGAAATTTTCTTAATCATTAATTAACGTATACCTTTACCGTTTAATTTGCACTTTGACGCTATTGGCCGATTTCTCACTCGCCAATGACCGTTAATTTTTAAAATTGTTTTCTTAGCTGTTCAGTTATTTGTAATTGCAAGTACATCCACCTTCTTGTGATGCAAATAAGCATGCATATATGCAGGAACTATATTTAAGTTTGTGTATGTACAACAAGATGTGAAATCAAAGCTATCGGCCTATGGCTCTTTTTTTAAACTCTGCTACTTAATATACTATTAATAGCGATTATTTATTACTTTAGGACTTGTTTTCTTTTATTGTGACTAGCGAGATCAATGCCGTCAATATCAGCCCTCTCACCTTACTACTATAAATCATTTCATCCTTTGAAAAGTGATGACAAGAGTTTGAGAAGTTGCGGCAACGAACATCCCACATCCACACGTTACACGAATGCGCAGCAATCTACACAGTCCCTCTTCCGCTTAGTTCTGCAAAGTCAGGTTTGTCTAAATCTTTGACATTTTTCGTGCTACTTTGTTGTCGGTTCGCGTTAGTTTCCGAATTTAAGGTTAGAGAAAGTAGCTGAATGGGAAATAAGATCACCTGAAAAGTTATGCGCTGTATAAGCATATAGAGAGGTTAGCTTAAGATGATAAAATACTATGACGAGCTTATGTTCAAGACATCCAGTAGTTTTCAGACTGCATACGCGCAGTACGTGAAGCTGCTAACTTTGTTTGTATTTGCTGTTGTCCATGTTATGTACATGATACCATTCTTGAATACTTTTGCGGTTGTGACTTCCAACGTCGATATGACCGATGTGACGCCTAATACTGGATCGTTCCATTTCCGGCATTTTGTTGAAATTCTTGCCGATGTGAGCGACTTATGTTTGTTTAAAGTATTTAAAACTAACTTTTCGTGATGCATTATATGAAAGCAGCATGCTAAAACTTGAACGGACTATGAAAATAAGGTGCGTAAACAGTAATTTAATTCGAATGTTGAATCAAAGCTAAGGTTTGAGTTGCAAATTTGAATGTTCAAATTTTTTATTACATCGTAGCTTCTAAGTCAGATACGGACAAATTCACTCATCACTTTAATTATTACCGCTTTTGCTCTGTTTGCTTGCCGATTGTAATTTTTTTTTTAGTACAAGAAGAACATGTGGATGATTGTGGGTAGTATGTGTGTTGCGCTGTCCACTTCATGCTTCATCCTTACGCTGAATGCTTCATCACGGAAGATCACTTATGACATTGTTGTAAGTCCTTATTTCTTGATTCTATTTTCCTGCTGACTAAAATCTCTTATATAAAGTGCTTGGACCACTTCTGACATAAGGCTTTTGTAAATCTTAGTTTCCATAGGTAGTAATGGGTGAATAATTCGGAAGAGTTGCTTACTTTCCCGACGGAACAATTTTTGTTTTTCTAGGCCTTTGTTGGCCTATATTTTTTCAACTTCAGGTACGAGGAATTGATCTTTTGACTTTTGGTACTTTACCATTTTTCCTGGTCGCTAGACTGATTTTGCTGAGCAGTATCTTTGAACAATTACCTGTCGTACTCCGTGAAATTCAGTTTATTCAATATTCGAAACAACTGAGTACCGCACTTCATTGCTCGTTTGTACCTGTCAAAGAGGTGAGTTACATTAATATTGCTTTTTATTGAAGCTTATTCTTTGATGTACCTGTGTTAAAAAAAGCTTGCTTCTTTGTTACATGGGAACATTACAATGTGGAATATGTTTGGTTTTGAAATTTTCAAATATTTGTGATCATAAAATAAATCATAGATAACAATTCGATTTGCTACTTTTCATTTCATTAAGTCGAAATTCGTTCGGATTCAGGTTCCTCTATGCGATCAAGTTATACGAAATGCTCTTTTCCCGGCATATATGCTCAAATTTCTCATTATATTGGCCATCTTGACAGTTGCTTACATGTTGTTGGCTTATTTAATCGAATGGTGTTTGAGACACTGGTTTCCACCACAGTTTCCAAACACACTTCTAACTATGCACCAGTCGCTGTGACTGTCTAAATTTTTGGTCCGGGAATTGTTATGAGTGAATCGAATTATTCAGAAAGTATTTATTCATTTGAAGGAATTCTTCTGTTCTTCAGGCATTGGCGAGTCTGCTTGCTACAATTTGTCGACCAAGTTGTTTGTTTTGTATACAGTGCCCTGTGCATAATGTAAATGTAGTTTACGTTGTTATTTTTCAAATCTATGCTCTTTCCACCTTGCCATTTTAGATTAGTCAGCTGTTTAGAATTATGTGTGTTTCCGTATTTATCACAGAAATATTTACTCATGGTCCAGAATAAATCTGATTTGTACAAAGCATCAGGAAAATCATTTTGGAAAAAGCACAACTTTACAGAAACAGTTGGAAGTTTCCTGCATGTATTTCAACAGGAAAGATATGTTGAACTCGTTTTCAATCTGGATTTATATTTGATTTTAGTTTACTTGTAAATTAGTTTTATTTCAGACTTTCTTTGTATGGTTTGATACAAAAATGCATCTTCTGTTTCATTTCTTTTGCAGAAAATGTTTGTCATGCCTTGCGCCACCCTATACTATTTGCAAACTAAGCATTGCGGTCTATTTCGTTTTTCCTTAATGTAGTAGTCTTTTGCGGTTCATGTTTCCATGCGCTCCTTTCATTTTATGAGCCAATTATTCCTTCGAACTTCAGAACAATTCCACATGATTTTAATTAGTTCCACCTATCAGTGCAGCCTTTTAGTTGCTCATTACCCATAGATATAGACTTCAGGTCAACCGGGAGTAACCACACTACGCTGGAAAATGTCGCAGTATGTTTGAAAGCAATGAAGCCAATTATGAAGACTGGACAAGTCAGTCTGAGTCTCTTTTTGGAGTAATAAATTTATGTAATAAGTTTATCTTTTTACAGTCTGTAAGATTCATTATTGCTAGCAATTTCAAATGAGGCTCGAAGTATGGCTTTATGAATCATTGGTTATTAGCATACTTATTTCCAATATTTGGGGGAGGCAACTCTGATTTAGGACGTGCACTGACTTCTCCAAAGTCTGAATTCCGGCATTTCCAGAACCGTATTTTGCAACATAAAGCAAATGAATTCCTCGTATATAATCAGAAACAAAAGTTCAGTTGTGACAATCAAATGACAACCAATAGTCGAGAATTGTGCGAGTGTTGGAATTATGCTGGTACACAGTGCTTGATTTATTAGCGCGTTTTTTTTTCCGTTCATCTCCCACTTCCTCGACAACATTCTTAACATACAGAACAACTATTGCTACCCTTCTTTATTGCGTCGTTCCATGTGAGATAAAAGGAAAAAAGTTTTTTCATAGTTCGTGACCACTTCTGAGCAAACTGGTTCTAGTGACAGGAAAATCATTGTTATGTCCTAAAGCTCAACTGTAGTGGTAATAATACATTCACGATTTTCAAAATGTTAAAGATATATTTTTAACCTGCATGTTATGAAAAATCAAACGATGAGCAATGTTGCCGTTTCAGGATCGGAGGTATCGTATAATTTATAAGGTAGCTGTAACGATTTCGACTGATCGGAAAAGCACAACAATAACTCCCAGAACATATTCACTAGTTAGAGTTCTTGGAAGTACAGCTTTAGGACTTGAAAAGACATGTGAATTAAGAAAGCGTGCGAGCTACTCGAAGTTAACGAAGCAATATATACTCTCCGATCATAGCATTATGTACATTTTCATCCCAATAGATCTTGCAGTAAAACTGGCCAGAACAAAGTCTTGAAGAGTAGTGGGAGAAAAGCATTCTATGAATATGTACCTGAGTCGGAGTCGTGGACAACCTCCTATATACAAAATTACTGAAAGCAGAAGACTGTATATAAATATGGAATATGAACACAACAAAATCAGAAAGTCGCACGAGCCTGGAATCAGCTGGGATGTTTGCTGGATCGAGCTCCACCAAATAACCCTGCTGATTTCAAGGGAAGTATAACAAATAAATTCATTGGAGGACCACATTCAGGACATTGTATTCCCTTCCCAAATGTCTGCAAAATATGCCTCATAATATAGTCATATTATGTTTAATTTTTTTTGCCTTGGTGATTAGATCAGCTAACCCAAATTGTGAATACTTAGGGCAAATTGTCATTAATTATAGCAGCGGTGGCAGTCCTCATGTCTTCTTCAAAACTGGCATGTTTTCTAGACAAAGGCGGCGGCGCTAATTTAAGTGGTTTTGTTGACAGGGCTACAGATCCGAAATCTGTATTTGAATAGTAGCGTTCGCAATCACTCTGGAAAAAATTTTTTGAACAATAAATTTATAAATTCCTAAGAATATTAGAAAAAATGCAGTATTTAAAATCTAATTTTCTTATACTGCAAAAAATTTATGTCTAATAAGTCTTCTTTTGCTGAATAAATTTTCTCTTCTGAATAATTTTTTCCCATAGATTTTGTTATCTTTTGCTGATCTGTCGGATGATTTTTTCCATCCTCTTTTTTCTAAATCTACTTCTGCACCTAAAATAAATTATGAAATAGCACCTGCGGTCCCACTTATCCTTATTTCATAGAAATTTTAAAAAACATACTATGGATGTTGGGGTGCTTAATACACTGAAATTTTTGGAAAGGGGACTCGTTTGTGCTATGAAAGTTAATGGACTGTGAATAGAAAGTGGTGTGTCGGGGTTTGATCCGCTTGAGAAGCGCGAACTGCATCGTTCCCTACGCTGAAACCATATGTTGCTGAGTGCATAGGTATTTGAATTAACTATTCAATAACAGATTATTTATTCAATTTATTTATTCATAAGCTAATAAATTATATAGCTAAATGATGAATTAGTTCCTTCCTAACTGCTGTGAAGCAGGAGCAGGAGATAGGAGATGGTATTTGTTTTCAGCTTTTCCTCGTTCACTAAATCCTCACTTTATATCTTTATAAACTTATCTACCTTGTGTTTTTTATCGGATCTGACGAACCACTATCGTTTTTCCTCTTTTTCTTCCTTATCTTTCTTTTTTTTTTTAAATTTAAACACGAAAAAACACTGCCGTGGAAAAGGCACCCAGCTGAATATGCTGTAATCCATGTAAAAGAGAGGAAGCTCATTTCACAGGAAATAGTAATATTAACATTGAAACGAGCAAAGATAATTCCTACTCATCCACTATGTCCATACCCATTCACATTAGTTTAGTATTCTCGAGATATCACCTTACTTTCTTCCTAACAACCAATATATATGGACAATCTATTAAATGTGACTTACTTCACAGTCAAGCTTTCGATTAATCACGGCCATATAATGCGATACGGCCTGATACACGAAGCGATATTGCTGTTCAGTTTGTACCATACCTGACCGCTGCTCACGAATCATTTGCACAGTACGCGGAATGTCTATTTGGCAGTGTGGCCCTAAATTAAGTTTTATTAAATTTTATCATCCTGATTATCTTGCATTGAAATTTCGAAACTTCACGTCCCACAATATAGCAATAAATGATGGAAAATAAGAAATAATGAACTCAATGCAATGGAGTTCTGCATGCGATATGAACTTACCTAAACGTTTAATTTGATTGAGGAGAATGTCAATTACAATGAACGTCCCAGTACGACCTATACCAGCACTGAAACGCTTTGAGCAATGATCAGAATGGACAAAAATGAGTTCCCCTTCAGAACTCAGATCTCATTATAATCATAGTTCATAAGAATCACCCATAATTATATTTTGGTTCAATTAAACCAAAGAAATTAAGTTGAATATGTGAATCTTATCTATATTTCACCTGCAGTGCACAATAATTGGGCCGGCATTTTCGTCACAGTGATTTTCCTCACATTCATTTACCTTCTCAAGAAAATATAAAACAGTTCTCGGATCCGTAGGGCAGCCATGATCAGGCCAGCCAAGGAACTGGAAATGCCATATCAATCGTACTTCATTATCTGGAACAGCAAATTAAAGAAATGCATATTCAGAATCGTTGTTTCTATTTTGTATCGAAAACTTAGGAATACTTCTAGAAAAATCGCTTAAGGGATAAAACATACCATGGTTTGTGTTCATGAACTGGATCAACCGTGCTGTGTAGTCTGGATTTTCAACTTCCTATGAAATAAAATCTGAACTCCACGATCTTTGATTAATTTAAAAGATACCAATGTAATAGAATGACGTACTTTAATGGCACTAGTAATTCATATTAATTTAAAAAAACGACAAGAGACAATACCTGCAATGACTTAATGACCAACTCGCTACTTTTTCCGAACCTTTCTATTTCGTTTTTAAGAGGCCAATATCGGCAACATTTGACCTGAACAAATGAACTGTGGTTTGGAAGTTGAAAGAGTAGTTTATCTTTTACTTAAAAGAGATCAACTGAATCTCAAAGCACAGTCTATCTCTGTTAACAATCCTTTACATAACTGCCAACAGCGCAAGATCACTGCTGTATTGACTCTACTGTTCAAAAAAACGTAGGAAAAGAGCCACCTATGTTAGACCTTAACAGTGTAAAAGGCTCAATCTCTTTTTTCTTTCTTTTTTTTAAAGAAAACCCAATGTAACTTTTCGTCAAGAGCATTCTCAATGATCAAACGAAGGCTTAACAGTACCGCAATAAAGCAAAATGCTAACTCTTCCTCTTTCTACTTCTTTTGTTGTCATAACAATAATTCGAGAATTCTGCTGCCAAACCATATTCCAGAAATCATCGATAGTGTTAGGCAAGCAACCTTGTGTTGATATGTAGCTTCGACGCAAACCAGCAAAATCCTGATATTCGTCACCAAGAATCTAGAATTAACAACACAAAAAGTAATTACTTCCGTAGTTCCTATGTTTCCGAAGATTATAAAAAGTATATGGAAGCAAGATAGTCTTCATCGAAAGACTAATGGAAGGAATTCGAAATAAATTCAATCAGTTGGTCCACCCGCTAATGAAATATTACTAAACAATTGTTAATGACAATATAAAATGAAACCTTGATGTGATTTGCATTAATATAATCACTAGAATCTGCGTCACTGAAGTTCAGAACAATTCGAGTATGATCATATGGTATGATATTCTTATAGCGATTCTTACACACATTACTGATCTTCTTCCCTTCACGTCGACTAAGGAACTGCGTCGGTTCTTGATGTTGCAACCTCTAAAAAAAACTTTCGGTAACGATTTCTTTAATGATTCTTATATTGAATTTCAAATAGAATCAGAAACACACAAAACAACTTTCTCCGGAAATCTTGAACAACGTTGCAGTAAGTCAGCTTCTAATTTCGTCAATTATATTTTTCACCCTTGCTGGATGCAGAATAATTATGCAGCTATAACGCCTCCAACAAATTAGGGATTTAGAACATTTCTGATAACAATGACCAACCTCAAACTCGTCCGCAAATCCATCCTTTCCCGTAGCACGATTAATTTGCTCAAGTCGATGATAACGTGCGTCAATACCAGTCGCTGGAACACGCGTTGACGGGAGAAGCTATAAATTTTATGGGAAAATGTAGTTTACAATTTAGTAGTAATAATAACAGAGTAAATTCAGCAAAATGTTTCATTACGATTCCATAAGAATATCTTAATTTTATTTGAAAAAGGTACCTGTTTAAGATTAACAACTGTTCCTGCTTGATCTACCATTGGATTCCTTGTGTAATGTTCCAAAAGTTCGCTGATAGTCGAGAAGGTAGCTCCACCACCGATATCAAATTTTTCATTCTATATAACAAATTCTGGATAATTTGGAATATCTTGTTCTAAATAATTCTTGAGAACCTAAAGACGATGAGAAACAAAAGATTTCGTGACGACAGTTCAAATTTATCAACATTACCTCCAAAAGCTCAATTTAGTGTTTACTTTTTCAACCAATAATAACTTGCTGCAAAGTTGAAACAAATTATTCAGAAATGTTGCAGAGTTGCAGTGGTTCTTATAAATTAATTACGCATTTTACGAGAATTACCTTATTGTAAATCATCACATGTATCACTTTATCATCTGCAGCTTTCACTGAAATAGCAAATTGTCCTGGTGAACTATGACTTTCTCTCACCAAGTATGTTCCATGCTTGCCTTCAGCAAGAAGTAATCGTTCTGCCTCCGGTCCTGATAAACCTGCATGGAACCACCTTTCTGTGGAAGGACGAGAAAAAGCCCATCCAACAGCTTCCGTTGGAGGTATTACCAGAGGACATCTGAATCGAGTGCAAATCAATATCCATGATACTATAAACTAAGAAACGGTTTTTTTTTAAACAAGTTACATTTAATTTATTCATATTTGAAGTTTTTCTGTATATGTAAAAACAAAACAAGTCGTACTTTAAAACAATGACTTCACCATCCCTTTCTCGCAGCTGTCCTGGATTCTCGACGTAAAATTGAACAAGTTCTGAAAGCGATGCAAACGTTTCACCACCGTATAAATCCAAGCAGTCCCCATTATTCTGTATCTTGACATGTTTGATACGATCACCCTTGCTGAAAAGTTATTAATTTAATGATTGTTTTCTAAGTTTTACTTGTTTTCGGAAAGTATGCAGGTTAGATATAACGTACTGAACAGACAGTGTGTAGTCGGACGGACTGGAACCACTGGGACGAGCCAGGAATGACCCTTCAGTACCACATGTGTTCAATAGTCTTTCAGCATCTACTCCGGAAATGGGATAATAAAAATTTGATGGCCTGAAAAACAAGTTTATTATTTAGAGAGAAAAAAAATGAACAAGTCACTTGCATGAATCCAGGCACTAAAATGAGGCTATAAGCGTTATGTAAGAAAGGACCTGATACTAATTAAACTGTTATTTCAAAAGTTTTCCGGCAATACTTGAAAACACAAACTGACCTACTATATCTTCCAAGTCCTTTATTGTTTTATTACGATCCATAACTATTTCATTTAAATACTCTCTAATGGTTATTACTCTCCCTGTACAACATTTTTTTTTGGACAATTCCATGAACAACAACTCTTCCGATACCAGCATGCGATAACAATAGGCCAAAGAATAACGATCAGCAGTCCATAAGTAAACCATAAGATTCCTTTAAGGAACTCACATCCGGACAAAGTGGAATGGATTTGATAAAAGGTATTCACCTTGTGGACATGTCTGTCATCCGATGATCGAAATATGCAATGATTAACAAGCGGTTAATTCATCAAAGAATCGTGTTGACAGTGATCTTTCACCATTAACTATACAAATTAATAAAATACTGGCAATCTCATTAGTATCATGTCCTCCTGAACATTTGATCAGTGACTTGTTTACTCACTGAATTATTCAATATTTCGCTGAGTCGCTCTTACGCTGACATCTCACTTGAATTAGTGACAATTTTAAGACTTTGCAAATCTCGAATGTAACGAATGCCACCCTAAAGTGATCTTATTTTCAATACAAGTCGAAAGCTTTATCCTGAAAGTGTCTAACACTAATTGCATGGCACACCTCACCAATATCCAAATAACATCATCCCCCCCAAACGGGGACTAAACTTTGTAAATGCGCTTAATGTACAGTATGTGCGGTACTTGGTTAGCGCACTCGGAATGTTATGCAAATTTTAGTCTTAGTGTCAGGGAACTGGAAATTTGAGGTTTATTTTTAGTGCATTGATTCCGAATTCCTGCTTTGTGAACCTGGTAGTTGTTGTAAATATTAGCGATACTTCTTTCACTATTATACCTTCATTTTCACTCTCATTCTTTCGCAGTCTGATTTTTCACAACTCTTTCAATTAAATTACCCTTTCAACTAAATTACCGAACACATTTTGTTAATCTATTGAATGATTTGGATTTGGACAGTTTTAGTTTTTGACTAATCAATACGTGTAGGATATTCGACTTATGAATACATCCTCTTTTGCATCCAATATTATTTAAGTTACAATAGCATCACTACGAAATGTTCAAATTGTATATTTTGGAAGTAATAATTGAATATTTTTTGAAATGTCGGTTTCCATCATCCAGTTGTTTTTAACTCTGTTTAAATTCTGCAAAGGAAGAAAGTGTTCTAAATATATTTTCATCCGATGTTAGTGCTCAAAGTCAGCTTCCAACAGAATGTAACTGAGTGATACTCTGGCAGTGCCAGTAAAAAATAGGACGGAATAACTGCCCATCGGGATTATGCATGTGCATATGCTCTGTCAATTATATATTCTTGGTCGCATCATTTCCGCTAATTTATTCTGACAAAGATTCTTAAAATTTCACAGTTCACTTCCAATCGCTCTTTCTGATATGATTTACAAGCTTTTTTTCAGTTGTTTTTCTTTTTCTAAATAAAAATCCGTTTTCTTGAATAAACCCTCTTCTTTCCGGATCACGCAAGGAGTATTTGTTGACTGATAATGCTGGCATACTATTTGTTATTTATAAGGAGTAAACACAGAATATCTTTAATGAATGAACAAATTAGATGATTTACCCAGAAGTTTCGCAGACATTTGAAATTTTATTTCTTTTCACTTTTTTCTTCTTTATTTTCTGGGAAGAAGTAGTGAAATAATGCGGCCAAAAATAGGCCAAGATTTGTTGCTGCAGTGAGCAGCATTGCTCCAATGATAGAATAAATTGCAATTTTATCTGCATTTGAACTATTCTCAGTAAATTTATTAAGTATTTTTTTCAACATGTTCCTTTGAACCTTTCTTATCTCTAGTTTAAGGTTATTATAGACCCGTTATCATAACATAGTTTTTTGTGTCGTACATTAATTTATCATTTTCGAGCCAATAATTATTTTAGATTTTCATGCTATTAAAATTTCTTAGACAAAATCAAACTTTTCAGAAAGTTCTTTTAACTCACCGGCTTTGCTGTAAATTGCAAAAAAATTTTTTCCGTCGGGCATATTTCCACTTTTTTGTTTTTGAATAAGAGATGAGTGAGTGATGAAGAATTCTTGGGCTATTTTCGGAAATGGCTGAAATGCCTTTTAAGAGATCAGTCGCCGATATTGGTATGACGCCTGTCAGAAGTGAATAGAACGCTTGTGATAAAGGCTAAAGGTGCTCTTGAATGTGTATGTGGAAAACACTCAAGGTATTCTCCAGACTTTCCATTTTGTTTATTGGTGCAATATCAATCTTAAGATTGCCTAGTGAAAATTTCGGGATTGGAAATGGCGCAATTTGAAAGCAATCATTAACAACCCTCCACTGAGCAGTATATTAATTGAATCATCAATTTTCCGATGCGACCTGAATAGAGTACCGAGATATATCTCCTCTAGCAAGTCCTTCAAAAACTTCAGTTAGGCAGAGAAAATATTCCAAATGAAGATCGACAGGTGTCACCAGTTCATTAACCAATGGAAGATTGTTATCGTCGACTATTGATACACGGATTTTTGGTTCTGTCTTACGAGATACTTGCTGGACCGGCTTACCGATCTAATAATATATGATGTGATATTTTTATCGACAAATTATTGAGACAGAACTTGTAGTATAAAATTATTCAACGGTTTTTTTTTTTTTTTTTTT